GGTGATGTGAGAGCCTGGTCCGGTGAGAACCCGGCGTGCTCCGTCCCGGCTTTGTAGGGATGCGAGGTCAATGGTCTAACGACTACGGCATGCACGACTATGAGTACCCCCCCCCCCCTTCTCTCTCTCTCGCCCCCTCGCTCCCTCCGCCCCACTCTCTCGACCTCTCTCTCTCTTCGTCTCGCGCGCGCTCTTGGTTGGTTGCCTGCGGGGCTGGCTTCACGTGTGCCGTCCTCTTACCTTTTGCGTGCTGTTCGTGTGCTTTTTTTCTTCGTCCGCTACTCCTGTTCTTCAACTATCATACGACGATAATGTTGTACGACAGCTGGCCCCCGGCGGCGACGTGGACACGGTGTCGAAGGCGCTCGCCGCGCAGTGCGCTGGCCCGAAGGTGAGGGCATATTGTTGTGACAGCACTGCCGCTGCATGTTGGTAAATAGCACTGCTGCACGTTGTTCTTAAGCAAGGGAAGAGCAGTCCTGTGTATTGTTTAAGTCAGCCCTGCTGCATGTTGTGCTTAAGCAACGAGCGACAGCACTGCTGCTGCTGCCTTTTGTTCAAAGCTGCATGTTGTGTTTCAGCAAGGAACGACAGCACTGCTACTTTGTGTTGTTCAGACAGCACTGCTGCATGTTATGCCTAAGCAAGACAGTACTGCTGCTGCATATTGTGCTCTCGGAGGGGTGTCGAGCTTGTGGCATTATTTGTGGACTATATTGGGGCCGTTACTATGGACGGAGAAACGGTGTTGGTGTTGTCCCGCTTGGACGGAAGGAAGGGAGCAACGAAGGAATGACGCGTGGATCTCTGGAGATCGGGTTTCGTGTCGTGGTCTCGCGATGCGTTCGTTTCCTCCGCGCGCGCACTGCTTTTGCGGCGGGCTTGATTCTCGCTGCGCGCTAAGACGTTTTTATCCTCTGCGTCACTTTTGCCCCAGCCAAGTAATCAAAGCAGAAAAAGACACGTGGTGTGCCTGTGTTGCTGGGAAATTTTTACGGTTGTTTGTTGTTTTGTGTCTCATTACGGCTTCATTTCTTCGAATTTTCGTCGCCGTGTTGTCCTTCCCCAGTACATACTGCCCACCATCGGACACAAGTTTCCTCTCGTGCGTCACTAACCCGTCTTGATTTTTTGAAGTTGTTTTTTCTGGAAGAAATTTTGGGAGTTCTGATGGCACTGCTGCTGATCGTTGCGTCATTGTCGCCAAGGCTTTCAAAACGAAGGCTCTTCGCTTCCCCGGTGCCTACGACCATGATGATGGTGGATTCCGCTCCACGTAGATACCTCGCTCGAGCACACGCCCGCCGCTCGTTCCGTCGCTGCCCCGCGACCATCCAACCCTTGCCCCGCACGCCCGACAAACCTCAGATCAAGGCCAAGGCGTTGCGGCGCGCGGTGGACATCGGCCGCCCGAGCATCCCTCCCCAGCAGCTGCAGGGGCTGTGGGCCATGGCGCAGGGGAACCCCGAGGCTCTCGCACAACGCTTCAGCGCTCCCAAGGTAAGAGAACGTCCCGAATACACGGTGGTGGATGACGTGACGCGGGGTGATGAAGCCTGTGCGTCAAAAATTGTCCCGCGTTTCTCTGCAAAAAATTGCGCTCCTCTGCACTTTTTTTTTATGCAGAAGAAAGTCGGAGTGACGACCCTCTGTCTCCCTCTTCTTTTGGCGTGTTTTTCTGCGTGGTATGTCTCGATTGGATACTGTCCCATTTTCGCATCTAAATAGGAGAACGAGAAAGGAGAGATATCGCTGTGCCTCTTCACCCATCCTCCCCCCACCCCCCCCGCCGAAGTTGTGGCGAACAAACACGCCCCCCAAGTCCTCTCCCACGTGCTCAAATGAACCAGGTGTTTTCTTGTGTACCATTGTTTATATCTCCTTTGATAGTGCAAGTGCTCATTGCTTGCCGACTGACTGCTGAATGCGTCCGTACACGCGGTGCGATCGGCGGTTTGCAGGATGCAGTTATCGCTGAGCTCCGAGAGGAGATGCAGAAGCTCTCCAACTACGAGGCGGCGCAGCAACGACTCAAGGACATGGAGGCGCTCGAGGAGGACGGTAAAGGGGCGCAGGTGACCCCCCCCCCGGCCCCCGTCGTCGTCCCCTTCCGTCGCGCTGTTTGTGCTACAGCAGTTGCTTGCCAGTTCGAAAACATGATGCGGGGTCCAACAGCAGCAAGGTTTTTTATACTTCTATATTGTTGTACGTTGCAGAAGTAACAGGTAAATGTACCGCGACTTTGAAGCTAAAGATAGGTCGGGAAGGCTTCTGTGAACACACGAGAGGGCGGCCGGAACCTCTGAAATTTTCTTTCTTGTTCTCTAGAACGATGATCGTGTCTCGTGATCTGTTGAATTGTTAATGTAGCGTTGTCCTCTGCATACATGGATACTGCGGCTTGAGCTCCTTTTCTTCGGGCTACGAACCTGCCTAGGACTCCCTAGGTACAGCTTCACAGGTGCCTCTAGTAGTGATCAGAACTAGTCAATCTACAGCAGTTGCTCTCTTATCGTCCAAGCTTTATAAGTGCTTCACAACAAGTGATCAGATCATTACTAGGCATTCTACAGCAGCTGCTCTCTTATCGTCCAAGCTTCACAGGTGCTTCAAAACAAGTGATCAAAACTAAGCAATATACTGCAGCAGTTACTGCTCCATCTTCCATAGACAATTTTTCCCTCTTGTGTTTTTGTTTTTTTTTTGCGTTCCCCCCGATGGTTTTGCTTCCGCCTCTCTGCTTCCTGCTTGCGGCGACTGCTGCTACTGGTGCCGCAGGACGCTGCTGCATGGGGCGTGTGGGCAAGGCGCTACTCGGAACGGCTAGGCCGAGAGGAGGGTTTCGATGCAAACCGCAGGCGTGAGGCTATGGGGGCTGCCAATCCTGCCTTCATCCTCCGCAACTGGGTTGCACAGGTGCCAGAGAGAGAAGTGCGACCGAAGTCCGCATCAGAAGCAACCCCCTCCCCCCCCCCCCCCCCCCCCCNAGCAACCCCCCCCCCCCCCCCCCTCTGATAGGAGTAACCCTTGTACTATTGTGACGCACAAGGCGAAGGTGGTAGGTATTGCGTATCATTCGGGGATTGGTCCACATCGGCTACAATCACCCCACCTATGTTTCGATTGCCACGACAAGAATTGGCACAACATGTAGCGTTTTCCGGCGCAGCGTTATCCTGCGTGAAAGTTGGTCTGGTTACTGCTGTCCCTGCTTGGCATATATTCGCCTTCTGGAGGGAATCCTCTGTTCTGTTTTTCGTTCATGGTCAGCTTTGCCAGAAACCGTATTTTTTGATGTTTTTTTTTTTCACAGGAGGTCATCGAGGACGCGGAGAAGGGGGACTTTTCGGGCGTCCAGCGTGTCCTTCGATTGCTCGAATCGCCGTACGACCCCCCTGCCGACGACGGAGAGGGATCCTCCTCCCCCGACGGAAGGGACTACTTGCGCGCCACGCCTGACTGGGCCGCTGATCTCGTGTGTACCTGCTCGAGCTGATGGGGGCGGGCATTGATCAACCCGGTGTTCTACGCAGGTTTTTCAAGTATGCAAACGAACTGGATATAGTATAGAATTAGCGAAGTTGTCGTTGGGGTTAGGGTTCGCGTCTGCGTGCCCCCTTCCTGCTCTTATTTCGTACTTCGAAACTCTCTTTCCTTGCGTAGGCAGCCCATCAACTTGCGACCGGGAGCGGGGGGCTCCGTGTAAACGAAGGGACCGAGGGAGAGAGGGATGGGAGGTTAGGCAGATCCAGAGCACGGCAGGCTAGATCGCCGTTTGCTCTCGATACTGTTATGTACTCGTTGATCGGCGGAAGCGGGGTCTAAACGAGGCCCACTCTGGGGCAAGATATTTTTTCTCAGCAAAACGTTGTCTCCCTGGGAATATTCTTTGATGGGAGGGGCATCGTCATCGCTGCTGCCACTGCTGCTGGAACAGCAGAGCGCCGTTGGTTGTCGAAGCGGCATCAAACCCGGTCCTCTCTCGGTGCCGAGTGTTGTGATTTTTGTAGATACGTATGTAGCACCGAAAGAGAGGTAATGCTGCTTTGTATCGACTGTGGAGTTCGAGCTTCAATCCAAACGTTGAAGCCTGTCTGGTGTTGTATCCGAAGGGGGGGGGGGGGGGG